CTCCTTTTTACCTCCCTTTCATCCGATTGGCGAAGGAAAAAATAATGGGAGTAGAGAATGTCAGGCAGTCCGCGTGCACCCGAACACGAGCTGGTAATTTTTTTAATTAAAAAAAGTATTTTAATGTGATTTTAAAACTTCTAAATATTTAACTGGAAATTAAAAGTAAATTATAATAACACTGTTTAGATGGTATCATGGACATAGATGTTTTGGTACTGTTTGAAAGTGTAATTATAGTTATTTTTTAAAATATTTTATATTTAAAAATATATTAAAATAATATTTTTTTTATTTTAAAAAAATATTTTTAATAATAATGTATTAAAATTATTTTAAAAAATTATTAATTTAAAAAAATAAAAAAATTAAATTTTTTTAAAAATATTTTTAAAATATAAATACAGATAAGATCTAAATAATTACTTTATATATAAATTATCTAGCCAAGATGCTTATTTGGAAATCTCCACCTCGAGATATTTTTTATTTTTCATTTGAGGATTATATTGAGAAGATTAGTTTTTTTTTAATTGTATCAAAAGAAAGGTGTTGTAAAATTATAAAAACTATTGAAAAATTTAAGATCCAAATAAAAAAACTTATTTCAAGTTTTAAAACAATATTATAGAAATTCTCTTTTGCAGCTGAAATGCTTTAGTTAAGAGTGTCATCATGGTTGTTTTTAAAATATTTTTTATTTATAAAAATATTAAAATAATAATTTTTAATTTTTAAAAATTATTTTTGATATTAGTATATCAAAATATCTATAAACACTTAAAAATATTAATTTGAAACAATGAAAAAAATAGAAAAAATTTAAATCTTTTTTTAAAAAATAATAAATAGGGTCTAAAACTTATAAAAAGAATATAAAAATGGATAAAATTGTTATTTAGTTAATTTACTATCTAATTTCCGTGATTATGAGAAAAAATTTCAACATTCCTTTTCTAATTTTTTATTTTTAAAAATTTTAATATATTTATCAAATAGTAAATGAGGGCATTAAAGATGGTTCCTGTAAATTATTTTGTGTAGTTTTTATAATTTTAAGGTACCTTAGGGGTTATTGTAAATAGTTCAAAATATAATATCAATGTCAAAACAAGTTTCTGCATGATTTATCATAGATTTCAAAATTTTCTCTCTCTTTTTTTTTTCTATATCACATCATCAATAAGTTATAGTCAATTAAATTACATAAGTTATTAAAAAAAATCACCAGTATGGTATTATGGTGTTATAATTGTATCCAAAAAATCTAAATTCCATCCCTTAAGTTATTTATGTTTTTTTTAAAAGGGAATTAAATAAGACAGGGTAAGAAAATTCCACGTAACTCAATTCAATGGCATCCAGCATGCCCGCAATAGAATCACTTAGATAAAATGAGAATATTTGGAAATACGATGCGCTGTGTTTTTTTAAAAAAATAATTTTTTTATAAAAAAATAATTATTTTATATTTTAAATTTTTTTGAAGTGTTAATTTTAAAAATAATATTTAAAAATTAAAAAATTATTATTTTAATTTTTTCATGCATGAAATTTTAAAAAAAAAAACAACTGAAATTATATTCCCAAACAGATAATTTATGGATCAAAATCATTTGTAAGATGTTTTAAATCATTTTTTCACTGTAGCTGAATTAAATTATAATATTTAATTATAATTTAAATGATAAATAAATAAATTTAAAAATTCTATTTATTTTACATCTAATGTTTCTAAAAAAACGTATATATAAGAGTGGAAGGCAAAATTAGTAAACTATAGGTAGCCGATATATCATGAGCTTCAGATGATGCTATATCATTAACAAAATACAATACAATACTTGTTGTGGCCAACACAATCACAAAATATTATTTATTAAAATATTATTTTTAAAAAATATTTTATGATTCAACAATTATTTTTATAGTTTTTTTAATGGTTTATTCTAATATTAAGTTGCCTTAAAAATTATATTTTGTAATTTTTTTATTCAATATTAAATTTAATATTTTTTTAAAAAAATAATTTTTTATATTGAATGTGTTTGAAGTTATACGTTTTAGTTTTTTTTTTTTTTTTTTATAAATTTATTATAATTTTGTGATTTAAGTTGTAAATTTAATAAATCAATACGAATTAACTCCAATAGTATTTTTTTACTTTTTTTTCTTAATAAATTTTTATCTTATGATTTCATCTTTAAATACTAGGTTAGTTAAAAATTTAACTTTGTAATTTCTTTGATTTGTTTTTGTAATTTTCACTGGAATAGTTTTTTATTTTACCCTAAAATAACCCAATCCTTTTTTTATATTTAGTTTTTTCCAATCTCTTCAACATAATGTTCTTGTGAGTATTGTATTTTGTAATTTTTTATTTTATACTCTCCCAATCTCATGGAGATAAAGTTGGTGTTTTTTTTTAATTTTAATCTTCAATGTTAGGTATATTTGAAGTTGAAGTTCATATTTTTTTATTTATTTTATATAAATTTATCATATTGTCGTGATCTAAATCGCGAGTTTAATGGGTTAATCCATATTCACTTGTGTTATTTTTTTACTGTTTTTTATAATTTATTTTTTATTTTATTATTTAGCAATGAGTTTATTAAAAATTAAGCTACATGATATTTTTCATATGGTTATCCTAATTTGATAATCGAAGTCATACGTTTAGCAAGTTGACCTAAATTAACTTTATTTTCTATCTTTTTTTAATTTAATATTTTTTTTATTGGATTTAATAATTTCTCTCGAATTACTTTACGTGGAGTTATCTCAATCTCATGAATATAATTTTTTTTTTCGATTTCAACTTTTAAAATTAGATCTATTGGTAATAGAGCTTCATGTTCTTTTTTATTTTATTTTTATAAAGTTATTTCAATCTTGTTGACCAATTTGTGGGATTAACATGTTAGCTAGAGTTGACTTAGGTTTTATTTTCTACTTTTTTATTTCATCCTTTAAATTTGATAGAAATCAGGCTTTGTATTTTTTTTTTTTACATACTATATGTTTATCATTATTTCATGACCCGAATTGCGAGTTTAATGAGGTAACCTGAGTTAATTTGGCTAGCTTTTTTTGTTCCTTTTTAATTTAATATTTGTTTTAATTTCATTATACACCATAAAAATAGCTATGATTTGGTTTTCATAGTTTATTTTAATTTAATTTCTGCTGGGTTATTATTATTTTATGATCCGCATTATAAAATTGATAAATTAATTTGAATTAATCTATTATATTATTGTCTTAATATTTTAGAAAAAATATATTTTAATATATATTATATTTAGATTTAATGATTAATTTTTTCATTAAATATTTTTTTATATTAAAAAATTGATTCAACCCACGACATAACAGGTGTTATCAACTACAACTAAGAAATAATAATAAAATAGTTAAAATGCAAATTCAAGGAGAATTATACATAAACAAGGTACATTAGGTATTTATTCCTTCTCCGGTATATAACCCAAAAAATATATTTTTAGCATGATTTGAATTAAATATAAAAAAATTAATTAAAAATACTAAAACAATTCGATTTTTTCACTCTGGTAACCACAATTGCTAATCTCTTCACCGTAAATCTCACACGTCCTTACTCGGAATGTTTAAAAGTATAATTATGGTTATTTTTTAAAGTATTTTTTTATTTAACATATATCAAAATAATTTTTTTTTTATTTTTAAAAAATATTTTTCATACAAGTGAATCAAAATTATCTAAAAATACCAAAAAATATTAATTTAAAGCAAGTACAAAATAAATAAATTTATATTTAAAAAAAAAATGTAAAAACAAATAAGACCAAGAGTCTTTGAAGATACTCATTTATTGATTTGACACACCATATTCTTTTTCTGTTAAAATAAAAAAAACATGATATTTTAATTTTCAACTACATTTTTCCATGTGTTTTAAGTATCTTGAAAATAAAAAAGTAACATTAACCTAAATCTTATATTAATTGAATTTAGTTTTTGTAACTGATATTCTATATTTATCCAATTAATTGAATGAAATTAAATTTAGATATTCAAGAATTAAAAGATGCTATTTTACATTAATAATTGGTTTTAAAATCTTTGGTTGTATCCAATTTATTGATATAACCATCCTCCGTATATGTTATGCATTATGAGTTTTATATTGGTGTTTTTTTTTAAACAAATAATACATACATCATATACATATATATATATATATATATATATATATTTTCGAGACTATAGTAAAAATTATTTTTAAAAGTATTTAAAAATTATTTTTAGAAGTATTTTTTCCCTAACTTCCTTATATGTCATTATATGTCATGTATTATGAGTGTTATTTGATTTTTTTAAATAATTAATAATAAAAAAAATAATATACAACTCGTTTGAAACTATAATAAAAGTTATTTTTATAAGTGTTTTTTATTGATTTTAAAAAGTTATTTTTGAAAATCTTTTTATTTTTAAAAATATATTAAAATAATATTTTTTATTCTTTAAAATTTATTTTTAATACCAGAAAAAAATTTTAAAAATTTTAAAAACTAGATTTGAAGAAAAAATTTCACTATCTTAAAACAAGATTGAACTATAAAAATAAAAATAAAATAAAAAGATATTTAGAAATATAGTAATAATTGTTTTTCCAATTATTTTATTTAAAAGTATATTAAAATAATATTTTTTTAAAATTATTTTTTTTATACCAAAACAATAAAAAAACTAAAAAAATCATTTTAGGTAAAAATGATTTTAATTTTTTATATAACACGGTTTAAAACAACATTTTAAATGGCAGCTTGTACGTGGGGTTTCCCTTGTACTGTAGACTAAAGTTACAGAACAGCCCACAGATGGGCAAAATCCGCGCACCCGGATTTCTCGTAAAACAAGTTACTTTCGATTTTTTAATTAATTTAATTTAATTTAATTTACACATAATAATTTAATTTAATTTAATTTAATTTAATTTACACATAATAATAAAGATAATGGAAAAGAAAAGCTGCTGCTACTTGTGTTCTCAAAAGTCAGCCACAGGACCGGCAATCGAAGGAGACGAGAGGAGAAGCCAACTCTCACTCGCTTCTTTCTCCGTCTGCGATCGTTGCAGGGGGAAGTCGAGAGGCAATGGTCTCTTCCATGAAAATCGTATTCGGACTCCTAGCTTTTGTCACTGCTGGAATGATCGTAGGTATTATTTTATATATCTAATCTAATCTAATCTAATCTGCGATCTCTACTATTTTTGAAAGATTTGATCGATTTTTATTTTTTCATCAATTATCTGTATAATAAATAGTCTGAGAAAGTTGGAGATCTTGGTTGGGGATTTGCAGGTGCTTTCTTTCAATTAGCATTTATACTAAAGCTGGAAGACTCGTATGGTAATTTTCTTATTTCCTTATATTTTGTTTTTTAAATGTCAATGGAGCATATCATCATCACGTCTGTGTTATAATATCTTGATCTTATATTTTGTTTTTTAAATGTCAATGGAGCATATCATCATCACGTTTGTGTTATAATATCTTGATTGCTTTTCGTATGGTTGAGCACTACGAGTATCTAACCTTACCGGTAATTAGCTCAGAAGAAACAGTATGTCTTAACCTAATTGATAATGTGGGAAGGAAGGAGTTGCTATTTAATTCTTACCAGGTTTTTTTTATATTGTATCAGTGAGTGTTGTCCTTTGACTTGAATTTGAGCTATTGAATACCATCAAGGATGGCCATTTCACGTGAACCTGATGGGTACCGCCCCGAATTGCCCCAAATGGGTATTAATTTTATAGACCTGATGGGGTTTGGATAAAACCTGAAGGCTAAAAGTTGGGTTTCGAGTTGGGTATGGATGCTAGTATGCCTGGGTTTCGAGTTGGGTATGGATGCTAGTATTCCTGACCCGAAATCCGACCCGAACCTGAAACAAAATAAACAAATAACCTCATAGTTTGAAAAAAATACATGTGTACCATGCTTATTATGGACTAAATAGTTTTAAATTATAGCATTTGAGTTCAGGTCGGGTTCAGTTATGGGTATCCAATGGGTACTTGAATCCCAATCAGGTCGGGTTTGGTTGTCAAAAATCCATACTTGTTCAGGTTCGGGTGTGGACTTTGTCAAAAATCCATACTTGTTCAGGTTCAAGTTGGATTTGGATAGTTATTTCAGGTTCGGGTGTGGATAGTACAAAACCTAATTCATGGGTATCCATTGCTATCCCTAACTACCATTGTAATCTGGGAGTGTTGCTGGAATTCCTTATGGTTATGCAGGATAAGAACATGACAAAGCACCATATTGTTGATGCTGGAGCTCTTTGAAAGCAGTTCAGGGGGCTTTTGATTTAAGTTTTAGACTCAATCTAAGGTTTCTTCATGAGCGCCTAATCTACGTGTTCTATAACATCGTTATTTCCGTCATGTTTTATAATTTTGAATTTTGCATCAAAAAAATTAAACAGCGACAGTGGTATTACAAATTAGTGGTTGTGGGGAAATATCTTGGCAGGTCTTGAAGTTGGATTTCTTGTTCCCTTTATACATGACTATTGTTTAAGAACTAGTCTAATATTGTGATGTATTTTCTTTTGAACCACTGTATATAGGCACCGAGTTTCCATCATTTAAAAGAGTGAGAAAACTTCGAAGTGATGCCTATCTTCAGTTGCCAAGAGGTTAGTATGGTTCCTATATACATGTTCACTATCATCTAGAATATAGATAGTTACGCTGCACTGGTAGTTTGCATTACTAGGTGCTGCTTTATTTCAATATGTAGAGGCTGTATAGGTCTTCATGGTTATAAACCTCTTGTTCTTAATCCAATTTTGTTTGACAAACATCTAAATCATGTGGTTTTATTTTTATTTTCAGGAATTTCTCAGTGGGATAATGACACAGAAGCGGCAGTTTTACGAATTGGATATGTATGTTTGCTATCTGGTCTCCATGATTGCCTTAAACTTTTTTAAAAAAGGTCAAATGTACTTTATATATCTCTTAGTGAGATGGAGAAAAAGAAAGAAAATATAAAAATGAAAAAGTCAAAGAAAAAAAAACTATGAAGTATAGCTGTAATGAATTGGAAACATGCTAGCTAGCATCTTGTAGGGTGGCATCCTATAAAATTGGAGGCACTTGGTAGCATGGCAAAATCATGATGATTACCTCTTAGATGGCCCACTTATATTTTACATGGAAACATGAAAAAGTTTTCATGCATTCACTTTTAAACAATTTATATTGCTATAGCAATAAGAGGTTTTTATTACAGATTACCATAGGGTCAAATCTTAAGCTTCACCATTGAGTGTCATATAACATTGCATGGTGCACTTCGTTACTCATAAGGATGGCTGACATATGTTGGATTGTGCTTTGTACTGTTTCAACTTTCATGAGATTGCTTGGGACTTCATTTCTGCTGATGTGCTACAAAAGGTTGGAGAGAGACAGGCTATACTTTTTTTTTTTTGTTTACTGTCCTTTTCTTTAAACAAATTTTTTTTTTATTTGCTTTCAAATTGAATTGGATAGCTTATTGTGACAAACTGCTATTTTAATGGTCTATTACTCTCTTTTGCTGTCTGACATGCCACAAGCACTTTCTATTCCAATTAAGGAAAGCTACTATAATTGTGTTTTATTTCTATTCTCGTATCAGTTTAACTTGTCAGTGCTTTTCTGTTTGAAATGCGTCTACAGTCAGCATATATATGACAGTTTCCTTTTGACAAGTAACATAGTGATTGATTTCTTTTTCTATGAATATGAAACTTATTTTTTGTTTTAGGTTGTTTCTTCTTTTGAAATTTATACACCGAGTGGTCAGGTTTAAATTCTTTGTTTCTATTTATGTAGGTCAAACCTGAAATTATCAGCTGGTCACCGCGAATTATTGTACTCCATGATTTTTTGAGCTCAGAGGTACACCTATATCCTAACTCATGTTTGTATTGAACTTTTCTTGATTATTATGATGCTGTTTGATATTCTGAATTGAACTCATTCATTAAGGAGTTGAGTTTATGGGGCTAAGTTCCAATAAAATTGAAGTTACTATTAGTCTGACTAATGTGTATACTGGATATGACATTATCAAATATTTAGAGATAATAGATCATGAATTATCTGTTTACGTTAGTAGCATGAGGCTTAATATTAAAAAAAAAAGACATGAAAAGATAGGTTTCCAAAGAATGTTCAGGCAGTGGGCTAAATTGTGCACTGGCTGTTGGCCATTGGCTTTACATGTATTTTCTCCTACTATAAACTATATCTATCGATTTTTCTCAATTGGTGTCATGTAGTGGTTGCAATTTTGTGATTGCATAAAAGAACATGCTTGCCTTTCCTTTTGGTGATGGGAGGTGGCGTGTTGTAGGGGATTTCAAGTGATTTCCTTCAAGTAGGATCTCGTTTATTATACAATAATAACCCTTGAGGAGGATTTGGAATGCTTCACGTGGTGGTTCAGGAACATAATTATGATATAAAAGGGGAGTATAACCTTGTAGTTTATCTTAAGTGTGAGGAGGCAGAGTAATTTTTTTTGTGTAGTTGTTAATTGTCATGGCAATAGATACTTAATAAAAGTTTCTATTCAGGTAATTTGGCAGTTGTTTTTTCTTTGTTATTTTTTATCATATACTGGCAGTTCTTTACCCAGCTATCAATGGGCCCAAACCTTTTTTTATCTTTTTACCTTTTTGAATAAGAGTCCTCAGTAATTTGTGTTGTAATTGTCACTATTTTCTTCTTTGCTTCCTGAAAATGACTTTGTTTTTCCATGAGAAAACTAGTAGAGCTGCAATTGTGCCATCGCAACATTTTTATCTATTCCCACAACTGTCTATTATGTACAGATACAAATTGCTCTTTTTTTTTTTCTTTATGTAAAAAGGGGTGGAAGGGGTTTCAAATAGTCTACAAATTGCGCAATGCATTTGCTCTTGATAATAGTACTGCCATTGCAGGAATGTGACTATCTTAGAGCCCTAGCTAAACCTCGGCTTCGAATTTCTACTGTGGTGGATGTAAAAACAGGGAAGGTAGACCTCTCTTTTTTAACTGACCATGTAATGGTTTATCATTTCTGTTCATTGCTTATATTTTCTATACACTTTGACATGTCAGATTTCTTCACCTAAAATAAAGGCATATTCTTTTTGCCAGTTTTGATGTTATCAATTTATTTCCATTATGAAGTTATAGAAAAGCTCTCCTTTTAGTATCTATAAAAGCAAATGTTTTTCTTTACAACTTATCCACCATATGTTTCTTTTGATTTTTTTTTTTGAATTGCTGCATGAATTTCTGCTTTCTTCAGCTGCAAGCTCTTCAACTTTGTTGTTTTACGCACTAATTTAGTAAGCCTGCATTTGTTTTACGCACTAATTTAGTAAGCCTGCAGAAGATGAGTTTTCCATCTAAACTCTTCATGAGGTTTGGTTTACAGAAAAAGTAAGGTTTCTTACAAAACAGGGTCGCCGCCTATGATGAAAAAATTGTACAATTTGGATGGACTTCAATTTATAAATGGATACGGATGGGAAACTCAATTGAGAATTTCTATCTTTGGGATCCATTCTGTTTTCTGGGGACTCAGTTGAGAAACCCCATGTAGACTTATTGAGGTTTACCCAATTTTCTAAATTTGATATTACTGTGAGGCTTTAATTATAAATTCAGCATCCCATTGAACCACCCTTTCTTCTTTACAAATTTGTTTGACTTGTTTATTTCAACTGATTTAGCTTCAAATGACAATTTCAACATGTTGCCTCTCTATTTTCAGGGAATAGAAAGCAAGGTAAGGACAAGTTCTGGAATGTTTCTGAGCTCTGAAGAGAAAACGTATGAAGTGGTACAGGTTAGTTTTTTTGTCGAACTTGCTTCTTATCTTCTTCATTCTTCTCTTAGATGCTCTAGAAGCTTCAACATACTTTCTAATTCCTTCACCATTACTTGCATGCCATACTTGTCATTTTGTGGCTGCTTGTGCATGGATGCATGCATGGATCAGCTTGTACCTTGTCTGAAAATAAGAAGCCACTTCATGTTTTTTTGCATAACTTTATTTTTAATAACATTGGATTGGTTTCTTATTCAATAATAAAAATGAAAACACGAGCATATTGCTAGTTATATAGCTTGAATGCTTACCAGTGCTTGTTAACTTGGCATGCATAATCCAACTTTTATTTTGTCTCGAGTCACCAGGCAATTGAAAAAAGGATTTCAGTCTATTCTCAAGTGCCCATTGAAAATGGGGAGCTCATCCAAGTTTTAAGGTGCAGATCTAACTTATTTACTAGCTAGACTTGGTCACAAAATTGTTAGACTAAGGTTTCTTAGTATCAAGGCTAACATCTGCTGCAGCACAGGTATGAAAAGAATCAGTATTACAAGCCCCATCATGACTACTTCTCTGATACTGTAAGCCATCTAGTCTTTTCTTTTATAGTGTCAATATTACATGTACTGTTACTGTTTCAGTTTTCCTTAATTAAGTTGTCTATAGTATGAAAATCACTCTCTCTCAACATTGTTGATAGTTTAACTTGAAGCGTGGTGGTCAGCGAGTAGCAACAATGCTGATGTACTTGAGTGACAATGTTGAGGGGGGAGAAACATATTTCCCAATGGTAACTACTGTTAAGTCTGATGCTTTTTTCTTTTCATTTTATCATCTCAGATTTATGGTACTCCTGTTTCGGTTTTAGTAACTACTGTTAAGTCTGATGCTTTTTTATTTTTTTTCATTTTATCATCTCGGATTTATGGTACTCCTGTTTCGGTTTAAAAAAATGAACTTACTGTATATGGCCATATGAAGAGCTTGTTAATGTCAGAGGATTGATTCCATTCAATCTGTTTGTTCTTAAGGATCCAATTAGTAACAAAGTTGTGTCCTAGCAATCTTTTGATTGTATGATTATAACAAGTCTTCTTTCAATGTATTTTAGCATGCAATTTTTTAGTGGTGCGAACCCCTCTCCTCCTTCAGTAGCTTTCTCCATGATTTTCATCCAGAACCCTTTATCTATGTCCCTCATCCAGAATTCCTTTGAGTAGCTTTCTACACTGTTCTCATTCAGATCCCTTATCTTTGCCACCCTCATGTCATCCCAATTACAGAAACCCCTGAGGTGACTTTGTTAGGAATGAGTGAATTTGGAACATTTTGAGGCCTTGCTTGCAATTGAGAAAGAAGAGAAGTCTTTAGATTTCAGAATGTTTGGTTTAATACCAGGAAATCCTTGTAGATAATTGCTTGCTTTCAGAATGTTTGGTTTAATACCAGGAAATCCTTGTAGATAATTGGTTGCCTAGCAGTCAGCAGATGCCTAGATACCCCAGGCAATATTTTTGGACCATGGAATTTAAAACTTCTGGCATTACATGCTTACATCATATGGATAATCCACTTCTGTATTACTGCAATCTATATCTTTGCATGTTAGCTCATGTTTTTAATTTTGCAAGTTCGTCATTATTGCAAGGAAGGGATGAATTGATCAATTGAATGCAGTTTAATAACACACTAATCCAGTTAACAACTGCAATAAACACTGTTTTTGAGGTAATTTAATAGAACGAACATGGGGCTTGATGATCTATTAGATTTCCTTCAGCTGCTCTACTTTAGGAGGCATACAAGGAATGCCTTTAAATGATTTTTGCAAGATGTGGATGCCCTTGATTGATTTTGTTTTGATGATAAGTTTATCTATGATAGGGGATATCTAAGTAGGATGAAACCCGGTGGTACATGGCTTATTTGCTCTAAGAGTCATTGAGTTTGTGTGGAATAAACAAGGTTATTTTTCATTTTAGTATAAAGATTTCCATCTGTTGCATTGACCAGTTGCAGTCCCCTGGTAGTATTGAACTCATTGGGATTCATCGTCTTTAGAATGCACAAAGTGCAGTGCCTCAGTTCCCATTGGCTATGGCTAGGATGCTTATGAGCAAACATAGTATACTTGGGAGTGTCTCCATCTCTCTCCAGAATAAACGCTAAAACTATTGAGATTTTTGGACCATTCCATGTGCATCCATTGTGTTTAGACCGCCATTAGGTGGCCTGCAAATTGAAGAACTTGTCAAGATATACTACTGTATTCAACAGTTAACTTTTTGCTATATCATCCTAACAGGCACTGCTGTTTATACTGTGAAAACTAACAAAATTGCTGTTCATATTGTGATTGGTTGATTACCTGTGCTTCTAACTGCAAATCACATGTTTAAAATTATATCTTGACATGACAGTTACTATGTTTAATTGTTTTATCATGAGTTAAACGTAGCATTGCATGGGTGGTTGCACCTATGAGTGATTGCAGGCTGGTTCAGGTAAATGCAGCTGTGGCGGAAAAGTTGTGGATGGGTTATGTGTAAAACCTATCAAAGGAAATGCAGTTCTTTTCTGGAGCATGGTCTGTTTCTAAACCCTAATTGTTAAAATTCCGTACTTGCAGAATTTTATACGAAACCTCTCCATTGAGTTTGTGTAAGGAAAATAAGGTTTTCAGGAGTAATAAATTGACGATGTTTGGAAGTGTAAAAAGTAAAAACTGTCTTGAGTGGGGCATGTTTTTGCTTCGTTTGTCAAATTTTTTTTGTTCATTAAGAGGATTTAGATCTTCTGAATGGTTTGAAATTCTACGTAGGTTATATTCCCCCCCTCAAAAGTACACACTAAATAATTTATAATCATCTCACACCAATCATTATTAATAATTTAGTTATTTTCTCTCCTAAACACTTCAGTGTATGAATAGGCATCCTTAAAAACCACTTTTACATCCATAAGAATTTCTCTTGTAATAATTCACCCCCATTTTCTTAACCCAACAGCGCATGCGACCTAAGATGTGCTAGTAGTGATTGGAAGTCCTGCTTAGCATTCTCTTGTTGCGTGTCTCCTATTGCTCCTATCAAAATTTAGCCTCTCCCTGCTATGAAGGGTCTCATTGAAGACATACAGACTGGACTGAAATCCCAGAAATGCTTAAATGATCCATTCTGAAAGCCTAAAAATCCTTTCTGCCCTGCAATTCCTGGAACATATTTAGTTAATCTCTCTCTTTAAGAGGGAGACAGGTTTTGGTTTTGGGAGGGTTTATTGGCTGAGCATATCTTTGAGTAATTCATTAAATAAACATGATTGTTATAAAGGTACCCCATGGAGATTTCGCTTTCATTTAGGCTCTCAAATTCTAGGAAAAAAGTTGAATTTTACTTCGAAATAATTAGTTTTTTGGTCTTAAATGTTGCAGTGGAAGCTTAGCTGATGTTTTGGTAGATACAGAGCCTGTCTGATGCTAGTTTGTTGTTGTTACTTCATTCAGGGACTAGATGGCCAGTCGGATCCTAGCAGCATACATGGAGGATGTGAGGTTCTGTCAGGGGTGAAGTGGTCAGCTACAAAATGGATGAGGCAAAGAGCTACTTTCTGATTTTACAGTTAACCCTAGCTTAGGTATATTTAAACAATGCCTCTTTTACATGGGTCGTGTTATATAGATCTGCATACGAAGGATTAGAGAATATGAATTAACCTTGAATTAGAAATTTATTCTAGTTTCTAATCCCCTATCAAGGGCTGTTGTGATTTGGAAAAAGTTTGATCTCTGGTTTGAGTGGCAAATATTGCACCAAAAAATCTGATTTATTTACATATGATCAGCTCTAAATCCTCCACCTTAGACTCTACTTCAATGGCTCCATGTTAAATAGGAGCGCAAATTAATCAAATACTGAAATTTTATCTTCTATACTAAACATTGTATGAACAGTGATTATTTTTATTATTTTAAACTTAGTCTCTCTTTTTTTCCATTTCTTCTTCTTCTTTTTTTGTTTCCTCTTAATTTTGCTCATTTTTTTTCTTGAACTTTTTTAATATTAGTCCGGGTTCTTGGATCGGTTGATATCATGTAGGGGTAGTTTTTTCACTATTTAATTTTAAACCTGATTTAAATAAGAAAGTTAAAAGTTTTCTTAGGTCAATTTTATCTCTATAGATATATTTTACTGTTAGTCGGGTTGTTTTTGAATTAGCTAAATCATTGGATTTTGATAAAGTAATTTTTTATGCTGTTTAATTCGACCTAGTCAAGAAATAATTTGGTGTGTGTGGGTGTGTCTGTAAAAGCAGGAGAGTTGAGGCCTCCAAACTTCAAAACACGGCAACAGCTTAATGGAAGGGTGAACCATCTGTTACCGTAAAACAACAGTTTAACAGTCAAACCCTACCAGAGCTCTTAAATAATAATACATTATTTATCAATTCAATTGTTTGGCAGTAAAGGAAGGTCAAGGAGTTGCACCAGAAACGGGTGAAGGGGCAGGATGTTGAGCGGCAAAAATCAAACAGTACAATTCTCACCTCTGCAGAAAGAATAAGTTTTCAGACCCACAGGCTCTTCCATGCGCACTGCTGAGAAAGCATCCAATAATACAATGGTGTTTTATGCACTATAATATTTCTTTTCATGCTCTACTACATGTAAAACAGTTTAAGTAAGTTCATTTCTATTTGTATACATGGAGACCTATTAATCTGCGAACATTTTAGATCTTATTAACAACAATTTCTTCAAAAAACGATGCAGCCTAACAAGCTTGAAAGTTCAGCAAGACTTTCCCATGTGGGCTCAGCAGGGGAGAGATTTTGCCAATGAACAAGACCCTCCTTTTCTTCCCCTTTCTTATGAGTTTCCAAAATGGCTCGAGGGATAGGGCGAGGTGCGGGTGTAGCAGGCGAGTCAGGCAGCGGAGGTGAGATTTCCTCTTGATTTACAATTCTCGTTCTTAGGAGAGAAACATGGAAACCCAGATGTAATTTGGATTCTGGGGGTAACTCGAATTTATATGCAACTGTGCCAATCTTTGGAAAGGATTTTCAATGGGAAAAAGACAATTTGGGACTGAACTTGAGGTTTTTCTGCTGTCCATGGAAAGCTAGCGATATGGGCGTAGTTTTAGTTAGACAAATTCACCTACTTAGAAACCCCCCTCTGTGTGCTTCTCATCATGATATTTCTTCATCCTCTCCTGCACAATCTTCAAGTTAGCTCTGAGATCCTTAACCACCACATTCCTTCCGAGTGAAAACTAGTCAACAGAATCCACACGCAGTGCGATGAACATAGGCTAGTAAAGTGGAGGGCTTACGTCCTTAGACAATTTCAAAAGGTGTCTTCTTAGTGGAAGAAATGATGTTGGTATGGTTATTTAATATAATATTAGAATTTTAATGATTAAATAGTTATGAATATGAATTTTATTATTTTTATTTATTTGATAAAAATTAAATATAAAATAATATAAGTTTATATAAGTTTCAAATCCAAAAAATTAACACTTAAATAAATATATTAAAAAACAATATAAATGATATCTAAATATTTCACTTAATAATTTAAATTTTAAAATTAAAAAAATCATATATTTGTCCTATATATCTTGTTGTTTTTAACGGTTTGAAACTAAACATGTAGGTAACATCAGTCAATATTTAACAACATAGAAGATAAAAACATGGATGATAGAAGAGTTATGTTTCTTTATGGTTTTTATTTTAAAAATATAAAAAATTACTCTAAAATTATTCTAAAAATGAATTTATTTTATATTTTTATCATTGTCTCTTCAATTCAATCAAATATCCGTTTGTTTTATTTATATTTATCTTTTTTTTGAAACAACAAAAAAATGCAACCATATACATCAACATGTTGAAAGAGGGCTACGACAGGAACCTAATCAGATTTGAACCCATGAGTTATGGTTTTAAAATCTAATATAGCTAAACAATTCTCGAAAAAAACACATGAAAAGAAGAAGACAAGAAACGGAAGGCATCATTTTACAGTAGGCATTCAAGATAATATTTGACCAAGTGCGCTTGTCTTCCTGAATTGAATCAAACTAGAGTTAGTATTATATATTTAATATAGTAAAAATAATTTAATCTTGTGTTATTATATAATAAAAAAATGAAAACTACAACATTTTGATAAAAAAAAATCCTATTTATTTTTGTGTTTTTAAAAACATTTTTTTTTAAAAAAATTATTTAAAATTAATATTTATTGAATATTTTTAAATTATTTTAATACTTATAAAAAAATTTAAAATAAAAAATATTATTTTAATATATTTTTAAATAAAAATATTTTTTAAAAAAACTAGATAATTCCAAGCTGTCATTTAACGCAGCCTGCACTCTAAACTCATGGGAGTCCAAAGCGCGGATCCTCGCAATATTTGACCTTTTTCAAGTCGTCAGACCCACAGCAAAGAGGGTAGATGAGTCAAATCCCATTATAATTGTGGAATCAGCACCATAGCTTCTAGAAGTTGACCTAGAATCTTCCAAAATATCAAAACGTGGGCTCCTTTTTACGATGAAGTATCCACCTTTCATATATATATATATAAAAAAAAAAAAACTTAAAGTGATGATAAGAAATTGACTTCTCAGCTCCTTCTTCGGCTGAAATTTTCAGTTTGATTTTGATGGGAAAGAGGCTGAGAATTGCTAATGCGGTATCTTGTTGAATTTCAAGGGTACTGATTATTACTATAATTATTGTTTTTTTTTTTTTTAATTATATATATATATATATATATAAACTTAGAGTGATGATAAGAAGTTGACTTCTCATCTCTTTCTTCGGCTGAAATTTTCATTTTGATTTTGATGGGAAAGAGGCTGAGAATTGCTAATGTTTTTATTTTTAAAAATTATTAAAATAATATTTTAAATTTAAAAATATTATTTTTAATTTCATAAAATGTTTTTATTTTTAAAAATTATTAAAAAATTATTTTTAATTTCAGTATAAAAATATAATTTCAAATAAAAAATTAATTTTTTAAAAAAAGTCTCCCAACACATAAATTTTTATATCTCTGATAACTTGGTTGATGAAGCAATTATGTAGTTGCATTTCACATCAGTTTAGTGCAATGTAGAAATCATTAAGGAAAAAAAAGTACATAAAAAGTCTGTGATTTGCTAGTGATGCTCTAGATTCAATCCCTAATCAGGCAAAATCTCAAAGGAGGTTTCAAAGCCTTGTAAATGAACAAGTGCCTTTTCTTCTTTATGATCATGGCTGAAGCAATTGATGATGACACAGAGGAAAAAAATTAATTATCCATGAGAAAATAAAAGAACTTTTGATTAGAATTTGACTTAGAATATTTTGCGGATGCAAATAAATATTATAAGACTAGCTCAAAGATATTAAGTGTATATTTCAAAGTGTGGTTATGGTTATTTTTTATAATATTTTTTGACTTAGAAATTTATTAAAATACTATTTTTTATTTTTTAAAAAATTATTTTTAAAATTAATTTATCAAAATAATCTAAAAAACTTTTAAAAAAATAAATTTGAAGAAAAAAATAAATTTTTTTAATTTTTTTAAAATATTTTTAAGATATAAAAACAAATAAAATATTAAATTAGATTTGAAATTTTATGATCGAGCACATGGTTTGATACGACTTAGAATATGTGGCTAAATTTTACATGGTTAATTCCCTGAAAGGTAAGTTAGATCTGAAATTTAAACTGTAGTAATTAGAAAATGATACTTACTAGTTCTCTAATGTTGAATTATTTATTCCAAAAATAAATGAATTTATTAAAAGCTCAACAAATCGGCATCAATCGATATCGATCAATATGAACTATAATAAAAACTTAAAATCGCAATATTTAATTCCTGTAATATGCAGAGGCTCTAATGATTTTGGTTAGAAACATGCTATAATTTTATCCCGCGTGGATTCTATTATACATTATTATATATAAAGCTAAAGGACATTAATGTATTATGTAGATTGTAAATGATATTACATAGTATAATTACACCCATGCCTTTGGAAAAAAAAAAAAATCAACACAACTAATAATTTTTAGATTTTCATAATTTAGTACAATTTAATTATTGAATAGCTCTTAGGGTCTTTTTATTTTTTCTTTTTAATCTAAGATCAATGAGTATTTTTGGTTTTTTAATCTTGATTTTCTTGCAATTATATCACGGGTTTAAAGGTGTTCTAATTTTTCTATAATTAAAAAAGAGATTAGCACATGCAAGTCGGAGGTGCTCTCAATCTTTGGATGATGTGTGCGACCTTTTCCGATAGCTATTGGTAGCCTTGTAGGGCAATATTCAAAGTATCACTACCTTCTACATTTTATGCTAGCTCGTGTTGACATTCATGGCATGAAGGAGCTTAGACGATAATTTTTCTCTCCTTTTTTTTTCCTGTTCTTAACCTCAAAAAATGTGTTGATCTTGCAAAATTACAAAATAGTTCTCAATCTTTTAATTATATCAATTTTGATTTATTTTTTTTAATTTTATTTTTTAATATTTGATTGTTTATATTTTGTTCATCAAATTTGATTTATATTCATTTGATTTCTATTTTATTTTATTATCAAATAAACGACACTTGCACTCTTTAAAAAGTACGTGTGGCGCCTCCCAGTAACTATTGATGGCCTTTCAGAATGAATTTTAAAGTATCTTGCCACCTTTTAGATGGTGAGCTAACATGTGTTGGCTTTAATGACATAAAAATACTTTTATGATATTTTTTTTTTTGTATTAAAAGGTGTGTTGACCTTATAAATTATAAAGTGATGTTCAATCTTTTAATTTAGATAATAATAATATCATTCTAATAAAAAAATCTCAACAAGCTTTGACTGGATGCTCCTCAAATCTTTTTTTTTAAACTTTCATAAATTTATTAATTTTTTTTAACTCAATCAACTCAATAACTTAATATTTTAAAATTTTAAAACCTTTTTTAAAACAATTGCTTCCCCTGAGATTTTGTTTCTGTGATCTCTCACGATACAATACGGGCCAAAATATCTAGTAATGACCTAAGCTGACAAGGGAATGATGTCCACAACATCTTAGTGTTATTTTTGTGCATCTTTGTGTTGGAAAACTGCCTTCGATGGTTGGCATTTAGCATGAATTTTTGCCCCCTTTGGGCCTGACCTACAGCGTTTTGTTTTAGGAATGTTCATGGCATCGTGGGAAATCTTCCAACCTTTTGTTCATGGTTAATTCTAGCTTGGCCCATTATTGAATCTAAAGCCATTTCTTGCTTCCTAGTAAAAATGATAGTACAATGTTTAATTTGGAGGTAGGTGGGATTAGGTTTACACAGATGTCCTTCTGCGATGGTTCGCATTATATTTATGTTTGAAATTAAGGTGTAGAATATTTTTTATTTTAAAAAATATTTTTTTACTTTTACAATTAGTGTTTGTAAACAATAAAAAATATCAATTTATTAAAAAAATTAAAAAAATTAAAAAAGTTTTGTCTAACTACAATTTCAAATTGTGACTATAACATTTACTAGCTATTTAGCTATTTGATGCGTGCTCCTCCGTTATTTAGATTTGTTTTTCTAAGAAAAATACATAATTTTCCAACATATTTTTTAGCTCTGACATGATTATTTTTAGTGAATTTTTTATTTAATTAAATAATAATAAAAACAAATATAAATTAAATAAATTAAATAAAATAAAAGGCAAAAAAATATTATAAAAGATTACACATATTAAAAATTATATTGAAAATAAATATTTTAATTTTTAAAATAAATTTCATATATATATATAATAGATGAATTATAACGATCTCTTAAAGAGTTCAAATAAAAAAAAAAAGAAGAAGAAGGGCTATTAATCTACATACAAATTTAAGAGTTGTTTTTCAAAAAATACATATAAAAAAAGATATTAATTAAAAAAATATTTTTTTAAAAAGATAAAAGTCAGGCTAGCATGAAGGGAGTCACATTGCATTTTGCACATTGGTTCCTCATGCATTTTAGATTTATAGTTAATAGTTTTTAGTTAGTTGTCTGACCCTTACTTCGTCACGGGTTAAATAGATTCTTTTTAGCAAAGAAATAAAAATAAAAATGAATATACAAGTTTTTTCAATGGTTTTTTTGACAAAAAAATCCTACCTATAAATCGAAAAGCCTATGCATGCATTTAATTATATAAAAAATCAAGAATCATTTGTGCTAATAAATACAAAAAAAA